TACCGCTAGCCATTCTAAATAACAGGGTCCTGATATCCGGTACTAAGTTTGTATCTTTTTTCTATCTTCGAAATCCGGTGTTGTGTCAGTATAGTGTAAGATTGCCGCAGTTAGCCCTAGTTACAAATTAGGCTCCATGCTCGTAAAGAATAACTACCGTCCAAACAGCCATAATTCTATCATCCCTGAGGTGATGGAGCGTCACAGGAAGTCTAAAACTGTTGATTTTTGATGACGCAAAATCTTATCAACATGTGTCAGCAGGGATTCCTAATCTCCCGACCCTGCATAACATGTCTGATCGCCTTCCGTAATCTTTGGACTTGTTTGCTTTAATGTGATGCATCAGCTACAGTCGTCTACCTTGACATGGAAAAAGCATTTGCTCGGGTTTCGTCGCCTACCCTCTATCCAAATTAACTGCACTTGACAAAGGCATTCCGCTGCTGTCATGGTTTGTTTCTAAACTCACGAACAAAACCCTGGTTGCCCAGGTGCAAAATGGAACAAGCACGTCTGAGCCAGTCAATAGTGATGTGATGCAAGCCAGTGTTCTGAGAAAGAATGGAAAGTCAATTTGAAGTACACGTTGTGTGGATGGATTGCGACGCGCAATCTCAAAGTGGACCGCGATTCCCATTGAAGTGAACCTTGGCCAGTCGATCACTAGGACCGTAGCTGATGAAGCGGCAGCAAATTGGGTGTTGCCCACCTGAAACCACTGCACTCCATGACGCGTTTCGAGGTTATTTCCTCTCATCAGATAGAGATAGCAAGCATCGAACCCGGGACCATCGGGATGTTAGTTGTGACCGCCACCCCGAAGCCACCGAGTCACGACGGGCAAAGCTTGGCACAACGGTTAATGACAGATTGGAAAGTCAATTTGAAGTACACGTTGTGTGGATGGATTGCGACGCGCAATCTCAAAGTGGACCGCGATTCCCATTGAAGTGAACCTTGGCCAGTCGATCACTAGGACCGTAGCTGATGAAGCGGCAGCAAATTGGGTGTTGCCCACCTGAAACCACTGCACTCCATGACGCGTTTCGAGGTTATTTCCTCTCATCAGATAGAGATAGCAGGCATCGAACCCGGGACCATCGGGATGTTAGTTGTGACCGCCACCCCGAAGCCACCGAGTCACGACGGGCAAAGCTTGGCACAACGGTTAATGGCAGATTGGAAAGTCAATTTGAAGTACACGTTGTGTGGATGGATTGCGACGCGCAATCTCAAAGTGGACCGCGATTCCCATTGAAGTGAACCTTGGCCAGTCGATCACTAGGACCGTAGCTGATGAAGCGGCAGCAAATTGGGTGTTGCCCACCTGAAACCCCTGCACTCCATGACACAACGTGCACTTCAATTTGACTTTCCAATCTGTCATTAACCGTTGTGCCAAGCTTTGCCCGTCGTGACTCGGTGGCTTCGGGGTGGCGGTCACAACTAACATCCCGATGGTCCCGGGTTCGATGCCTGCTATCTCTATCTGATGAGAGGAAATAACCTCGAAACGCGTCATGGAGTGCAGTGGTTTCAGGCGGGCAACACCCAATTTGCTGCCGCTTCATCAGCTACGGTCCTAGTGATCGACTGGCCAAGGTTCACTTCAATGGGAATCGCGGTCCACTTTGAGATTGCGCGTCGCAATCCATCCACACAACGTGTACTTCAAATTGACTTTCCAATCTGTCATTAACCGTTGTGCCAAGCTTTGCCCGTCGTGACCCGGTGGCTTAAGGGTGGCGGTCACAACTAACATCCCAATGGTCCCGGGTTCGATGCCTGCTATCTCTATCTGATGAGAGGAAATAACCTCGAAACGCGTCATGGAGTGCAGTGGTTTCAGGTGGGCAACACCCAATTTGCTGCCGCTTCATCAGCTACGGTCCTAGTGATCGACTGGCCAAGGTTCACTTCAATGGGAATCGCGGTCCACTTTGAGATTGCGCGTCGCAATCCATCCACACAACGTGTACTTCAAATTGACTTTCCAATCTGTCATTAACCGTTGTGCCAAGCTTTGCCCGTCGTGACTCGGTGGCTTCGGGGTGGCGGTCACAACTAACATCCCGATGGTCCCGGGTTCGATGCCTGCTATCTCTATCTGATGAGAGGAAATAACCTCGAAACGCGTCATGGAGTGCAGTGGTTTCAGGTGGGCAACACCCAATTTGCTGCCGCTTCATCAGCTAGTGTTCTGAGCCATTTACTACTCCTACTGTATTTGAATGACATTCTTGACATCATTACCGTTGGGAAACCTTTTTTATTTATCGAAGACATGAACATTATTTACACTTGTAATCCCACTGGTTTCAGTAATATTCTCATCGCCATCCAGCGTGATTTACATAGACTTGATTCATGGCGTTCCAAGTGGATGATATCATTCTCGTTTGATAAATTACACGTGGTTTACTATAGATGTGCTGGGTGCACTTTTCGTTGAAAATAAACAACTGTCTCAACGCCATACCATTCGTAAACTAGGGATACCCTACTCGAACACCCTACATCATCATCAATAGAGGGTGAGAAACACACCTCAGCTAATGTGTCGCAGTACAAAAAGGTAGGATCCAAAAGTTTACACTACAAAACTATTCAAAAGCAGATTCTAGAAGGGTAAATATTATGTTATGTAATCCGTATGGGATCGGAATTGGAGTGAAATCTAAAAGGGGGGATGGACAAAGAGCCTCACAACACAAACTCCAGTGGGGTCGGCTCTTCGCCATATCAGCAATTGTGCCCAACCAAACGTGTTCATCGTCCTTAGGACCTCAACCAGGCAGTCGGGATGCACCGACCCACGATAACTTCGAACTAAGGGTTCTCATTTATCTCGACCAAGTCATCGCTGGCCTCCCCTCCTCCTCTTCCAACCGCACCCTCGGCGTCCAAACAATGCAGGTCGCGGGAGTCGCTGTGCTGACATGCGCAACACGTGGCCCAGCCATCGGAGGCTGGTGATTGATATAATGGTGCTGAGCGGTTCACTAGCTCTTCCTGCACCATGTACATGACCCCAAACGCATTCATTGCTCTCGCGGTGCTCCCACCAGACATGAGCTAAGCGGCGAAGACAACGACGGTCGAACGTGACTAGCGTCTTAACTTCGCTGACCACACCAGACATACTGCTGCTCAATCTCCTCGGAGCCTAAGGCTTCTGTTCAAAACATTCACTCTGAAAGAGATACTTAACGTCAAGTACAAAATATGAACACGTCCGTTACTATAATATGGCTCCCTAAGCTACCGTAATTCCAAACTGCGTGATCGTATAGCACTAGTGCTAGTGCAACGGTCATTCACTGGGCGCCCCCTCTCGGTTATTTCCCCACATTATCACTACAACTTGATCCATTATGGCTGCGTCTAATGTAAGGTAACCGTGCCGCCTTCCATTATTCCCCCACTAAAAAATACGTTCCTCAAATGCGGCACTGTAACTAAAAGAATCTGCAAAGTATCCAATCGGAACTAACAGCAATAAAACAGTAATGGAAAGGGTAAAAAACTAATTAGTTGGACGAATTTATTCTTATTCGTTACTTCGTAGTACAGAAAAGGTTTCCAAGTGAGATCCACGATATCCAGTCAGGAATAAATTTTCGAAAGATATTTGATTTATTGCTCAGTTTAGAAACAGCTAGTGATATACTGAGACCGAATATGACAAATGGATGTTCTTATGAGGGGGGAGCGAGGTGCATATTATTTGAATGCCCGGTTTTTTCCTTTTCGAACGACTCGATTGATTTCTCCACGGTTAGCGGTTGCATAGTCACTTTGTCTACTAACGAGAATTATCCATCTAACGCTAAATCCAAGCTTACCAAATCGGAACTTTATTTATGAGATTTCTACTCTTTCCCTTTCTTTGCATTTTCTCTGCACTATTAACATCCTTTTATTCTTTCCCAGAGGCCACAATTCCGACACACGCTAAAGTTTTCCGTACTCCACGAACTCGACATCGATGTTAATTTCGCTGCTTTTCGATTAGCTTCACCTGGCTGAACCAGCAAAAAATCTTCCAGGAGACGCAGTGTTTTAAATACTTCTAACGCTTACTCGTTCCTATCGATTGTTTGTAAAATCAGAAGCAGACAACCTTCAACCTACATCTCATCAGTCTTTCGATGATCTATTAGACTAGATACGATCTTATAGAGTTTATTTCATCGTTCCTGATCTTTCGCTAATTTATCGGATGCTTTGCTTTCAATTCTCTTCTTTCGAAAGCATTATTATTCCTCTGTGTTACCTGCTGGTAAGTTTCTATTCCACAACTCGTCTCGTAATGATTTACACACGCCACGCAGTGGTACCGGAGGTGAGGTTCGAAACCGGGACGTAAGCAATGCTAATCGATGCAACTGGATCCCCCGAACTTCAGTGTAAGGAGCATGGATTATAAACCGAAGATAATCCAGCATCTATTCTATGTTAATGTCAGGGTCGTGAATAATACCGACTAAGAAGAGATCTGTGAGTCACCAAAATACTCCGTATCCAATCAGGCACGGATTGATGTACGTGAATGAGCAAGACCCACGAAAGTTAAGAAGGAGTAACTCCAACTTTGTGAATTGCTGCCAGTGGATGATATATATACACAGAAACCAAGGTACCTCAGAGTAAGTAACCAAGTATTAAGCAAGGGAACCACCCTAAAATTAATTGCTGATATCTTATCCCAGCTTACTTCATACTGTCGTACAGGCTGTTGCAGCACATAGAAACCAGACGTTGAAAGTAAATGGACGGCGTGTGTAGAGATGGCAAGTGAAAGTTCAACCTGAAATAAATTAGTTTTCAACTTGCACCACTGCAAATCATAGTGATAATAGGAGAAACAAAAGATGTTAGGCCAAAGAATTCTCCACAAGCAACCGCTTTCAATGGCGTTGCACTTACTGATTTGTTCAGTAACACAGTGTGCAATAAAATGACGTTTCACGGTCATGCGGAGACAGAACACTTACGTTCCAATAGAAGGCCACGACATCCATTAACTCTTCCATTAATTTCTCGGTAAACCAATCAGGCATGGTAAAATTGTGCGCCCTCATACATATCGCGGTATCCAGCACATCGTCGATGTTGAATCGGTCAATGGTATTTGGTAAATGTTTGTTGAGTAAGTCAAACAAACTGCGATGCTCATTCTCATAAGCAATCGCCGCATCCGAATACATCTGCAGCCCACGTAGCACATCCAAGGACGGACAGCTGGCAGTGCTCAACAGTACGTCATTTTTCTGAACAAATAAAAGTACGTGTGCAACTGAAGTTTATTACAAAATAGAAAACGGCAAGTTCAAATCTAATATTTGATTAGAGCAAGAACCACGGTGACTTTACCATTGACTAACTAGAGCACTCATATATCTAAAAGCAGATAGAGTTTAGGGCAAACTACACAACAATTCGGTGACAAGATTAGATGGATATGAAAGTAGACGTGTGAAGTCATACACAGACATTGGACAAAAGCAGAGTGTCTATGTTATTGTCGATGGTTCTGACAGTAATAAAGGCGCACTGTGAGCAAATTTAGTAGTGTGACAGCATTCATACGAGAAGCAATTCACAGGTTGAGGCAGTATCATGAGGCTACCGTAACGTTACTCAAATCCATCGACATACATTGGCCTTATTATGAGACAGCAACAAATTACCGACGTGGTTGCGCTTGTTCTGCGTTATTGCACTCTGCATTGGCAAGCGTTGAATGTGCGCCACTTCGCCCGTATGCAAAGGGACAGAATGCAAATACGTTGTAATAGTTCGTCCCGATTAATGTAGACATGGCGAGTTGGAGGTTATATATATCGCTTCCTGCTTCAGTTAGGTCTTCCAAGTACATCCTTAAGAGATACGTCAGTCATGGAGCAACCATGTTGGAAACAACTGCCAGATCCATTTCAAAGATGAACTGCTTGTGACAGCAAATTGGAAAAACCCAAGTTGCCCAATTTATCTTACACTTCCATGATTTGTCCGTAAAGAGACTAGCTTAAAGTACACAATAATTTTGAAAAGCTTTATGACTTATCTGTAAGAAGCAATTAAAAGCATAGGAAAGCACCGGATCGTTTTCTAAATTTTTGATATTGTATGGAGGATATCGTCCGATTCATGTGTATACATTCTGAAACATGTACAAAAGCATCAAGCACTATAGCCGGATTGATGAAGCGCTCTGCACGATAGTGCTCCGTGTCCTCACAGTTCTAAAAGCTATGCAATGCTTCAAGCTAAATATCGCAGTGACAGAAATGTTTATCCGAAGAGACCAAAGGATATATAATGTAATGTCCGTAATACCTCTCGTTCGTACATTAAAAAGCTTCACTGTTACCACATATGCCAAAAAAGAAAACAGACCGACTTTCTATGCACACTCCGTTAAAGTACATCACATTCTTCCCTTACCCGGCCATACAAACCTCAAGACCCCATATCAATATGGTGGCTGAAAACGGCGTTAAACGGAGTCCTCCTCTTTATTCATCCGACCAATGTTATTTTTTTCCTTACTCGGCCACATCGACCTGAAGTCTTTTATACGTATATGGAGACCAACGACGGAAAACAAACTGAGTCCCGGTTTTCACGCCTTGACGCCCTGTTATATCCTCTAGCTGAAAATTCACCCTTCATGAGTGCTTAAAAGCGAATGATTGACTTGAAATGACTTGCTTGACATACCTACTTCAAGGCTTTTAGGTTCCCATAGAAGCCTATGATGAAGGCCAACTGGGTACTCATCCTCTTCCTATTCAATATTTCTACACAGCGCGATGGTTTCTATCACGACGTTTGTCGCAGACAGACATACACGCGTGACAGACAACCATTGAACATTGATGTACTAGGAATTTAGTTTCGCACCTTCTTAAACCGATACGGATCCCGAAATATTAGCAGGCCCATTGAAGATCTACGGGAATACGTGCCTAACCCATTCTAATAAACAACTATCTCATAGATTATATGAATAGCTAACATGCATGTCTACCGTACCTATTTTTACTTATTGTATGCTGCTAAACACATCATTGTAAGCTTGTGTCATATTTCCCAACAACACTAGATTTCTTAAAGCTGACGTCACATCAGTCTTCTCCGCTTGTAAATTGTTCAACCTGTTCACTGTTATATTTTTCCAACATGTCCCTTCCCCCGAGACGCGGCCAACTACTGCGAAGAAATCTTCGAATAGGTTGGTGTATTGATCCTTCTACACAACAAAACAGCAATCCCTCTACCTTAAAATGCTCTCGACTACAGCGCCTCGGTCTCCATTCAGCTAGCTCTAACTCCGCAGCAGTAACAGACTACACCGTAAGCCGAGTAGATGCCAGCATATAAGTGACACAAAACTGCTACCTTGCCATATCTTCGTGAACTACCAATCAACACGTGATTATTACAGTTTTTTGAGAGTATGACTGACGACGTTAAATGACGAGTGTTTCGCCAAACTAAGATCACATGTACTTTTTCCATTTACTTGATTAATCAACAAATTTGCAATCCCCTTGTATGATTTGATCGGACGAACAACATGGGCCGTGTCTCGTACAGTCAAGAACTAAACAATTTATTTATTTATTATCTGGCGGAGTTAACGACTCTGATACAACGGCATAATCTAGCAGCGGAAAGTCGAACGCAGTTAGCAGAAGTCTTGAGTAGCATATTTTCTTGGATAAAATGCCCATACCTCATCGTAGCATCGAAGCACTGACCAATGAACATCGCTAAAGGTTGACAGTATCCAGAATGACTTAAACGAGCTCATTATTAGGAAAGATAGCTCAGTATGACATAGCAAACAGTGAAATGGTGCAAGCATTGGCTTACAGTATATAACTTGATAGTGAGCACGTGATATTGTTTATGCTTCATATTGCGTAGGACGCGAAACTTAACAACAAGGGGTGGAGTAAAATTGGTATCATGTCATGACAGCCTGCTAACTGCAAACATAACTGGACTCAGATAGGAAAGCAGCATGGCTTTTGTAACTCATGACCATGCTTAAATCAACCAACTGATTTTTACCAGTACGTTTACCGTCGCTAATTCCTCAATCCTGAGGAATGCCAATAGCTTTATTTTGGTGAGCGCTTATATTCAGTTAAACAATGATGCCAACTCCAACACCTGCATTGTACCTTAAGCACATACATCACTCCAACACAGCAGCAAAGCGTCAGTCTTCACATCAATGCTTAAACAACGCGCACAAGTCTGATGGACGTTTTCGATTACTATTCCGCAAAAGCTACGACATACTCATCAGGTGCAATGAATGCTTGGCCACGTCAGTCCCCTGTTCGTATAAGCGCTTATATTTTACCCCATGACATCTGTCTGCTTGATTTAAGAATTCAGATTATTCCAGAGCAGATCAGTTAGCAGTGCACAATTTGGGTACTGAAGTGCAGTGGATCCAGTCTCCACAACTCGCGTCGCCAGCATAACTATGATTATCAATGATGAGGAAAACATGGTAGAATGCAAATATGGATACAAAGAGCAAGGCGCTGTGAAAGCTTTGGGTAAAAATGAACCAGTTAGCATATCAGAATGTAGTTGCCAGTGAACTAGTGCAAACAGCCCTCAGGACTTCGTGACTGTGTCTTGTCGAACAAGGGCTTTCACAACTATTGTGACTGATCGCGGGGCGTAGCCGGTCAGTCGTCGGCTGGCCACTTAAGCGGTTTCGCTTAACTACTTGCGTAGCTACTACATGACTCCGCCAAAGTGAGTGGTTCTACCTGAGTCTTCAGTATTGAGACTTCAGTTTTGTTCACCAGGTATTCACGCAAGATGGGAATAATACACGGCGAACACCGGTCAACCCAAACAGAGACCTTATCATAGTCCTTTACGTCCCCCTTTGAAAGGCCAAATGATCCTCATACATAAAGTAACATACTTGTCCAGAGCTATGACCCAACTCTAGTGTTGTTATCCGATGTCACATTTCTCATCTCACAAGCTTCTACTGCAACTGAGGATGGCGGTGCCGGTCTACCGGTCAATTGGCTCTTGACACTAGTGAATGAACCGCTACAGACCACATGAGTGAATCGACCATCAATTGTTCTCACATACTGTTTTGCCCAAAGAATCGTCCTTAGATACGTGCGTTGAATGATTTGGAACAAAAGCTTATGATTTTCGGTGGTGCTGACGTTTCCCAGATAACGGCGATTGACACCCGGCAACTCAATCTGTCGGTTCTGATGTTGCTAATCCGGTACTGTTTCACAGTGTTCCATATGGTCTGGTGGTGTAAGATGCTTAACTCCAAACACATTTGTCTTGAATGTGATTCAAGGAAGGGTCGGTAGCGTGCGCGCTGTTGACGGGTTCCAGCTAAACGAAACAGCCGTCTAGCGTTCCTTCGTATGTTTGGAGAGCTAACTGAATGTCAACGAGGTGCAACCAGTCGTTTTCAAAAAAGTGTCTTAACAATACTACACCTTAGAAAGAGCACTTTTCGTGATACTTTTGTAATAAAACAGCCCCAGAGATCCTTCCACTATTTAGATGCCCCAAGTTAAATGGACAAGCGTTTCCAAATTTGTTCACTCCAAGGCCCACGAAAATGCTTCGAATCCGCATTTGGTTTGTTCAGCTTGTTCGTCAGCGAGGGTAATCTGCAATTCAGACTAATGTTGATGCCCGACGGATCACGAACATAAATGACAAACAAACAATTGCGAAGATCAGGGCTTCGAAGAGCGAGGCTTGCGCAGCCACTGTCAGAGTAGAGGCACGTGCACAAAATCTATCAACATATAGACTAATGTGTGCTAAGTAAAGTTTATGGAGGTATGGTCAGTGTGGGTCCAGAGGCATGTAGGTCAATGTTTACTTCGTACCACCATGCAAGTGTATATGAATGAAAGTCATACTACTGAAAACGATGGGGCTGACCGGTATCTAAGCGGCAAATATTTACTACAACTCACTTAGTTGATAAGGAAACCAAAACCATCAAAAAAGTACACCTGGCGTGAGAGTAAATTTGGTTCAAGTGCGGTTTAACGCTATCAGCGTAGGATAGGTGAAGTTTAAATTGATGTTTGCCTAGGTTAAATAAAATGGTCGATAAAGAAAATTCACACATGAATATCTGGCGTAAAAGGTAATTGGGTCTGTGAGCTGAAATGCAGTTTACTATAAAGCATAACTAAAATAATGGTGCTCTGCTCATAAAAGATGACTAAATTTTGAAACTGCAAATGGTAATGCGTACGATACCGTAACAAGTATAAGACGCACTTGACTGACAGTGTGGACGGGTACAGGCCTCCAAGCGACTCCATATGGAATGAGTGGCGAAGAGGAGTTGTAGTATAGTCCAGCGGTCACAGCTTGTGCGGACATCAGAGTCCTGTCAATGTCTGTGCTTCTCATGTGAAAGTCTGAGGCATTGTAGTGGTTGGGGATAAAGTAACCATATTTATAACGCAGCCATCTCCCAAGTTCGAATTCCTGTAGAATCCCTTTATCAGTCAATTGTCCATGCCCAGAGGGCCACATTTTTTCGTAGGAAGCTTCGCTATTTATTGGGTCGAAAATAGGAGTGCGATCGCCATGTCGGAAAAGGATATGCAGGTGGAGAAGGTCCATCTCATCTCTAGAATGCATTGTATCTCCCAACCTATTACCAGCGAATTCATCCAGGGAAGCGCACGCGGTGTAAAAATTGAATAGGATAATTTCACAGAAAATAATGTAGGACTTCTCAAACAACATCGTGCGACCACAGGTTCCGCAGTTAGATATCCGAAGATTCCAAACTGTCCTAAAATGTAAAGTAGTAGACTACAAAGTAATGGCTACTCTGTCATTACGGCTCAAATTCAAGTGTCTATGAAACAAAGATGAACGAAAATAAAAATTAGCATTACGAGTATTTTGACGTAAATCGAACTGCTGTGGAGCCAGTTCAGTTTGTGTTAAAACATCGTTTCAAAATGCAAACGTTTGTGTGAACTCGGATAGCCGTATTCGACAAAAAGTGTCCATCACATAACCAGTGTTGTCGACATAAAAATTATTCCATCCGTGTGTGACACGGTCGTAAATCGCAAAGCAAATGGTCACCCAATTACTTCTAGGTAATAGTAACGAATGGCTAATCAGACAACAACCTGTTGTGCAAAGTCAGGTCGTTAAAGCTTATACAGATCTTCAACCAACGAGTCTCTTACCCTCTAAACAGGACATACCAACAAGCGTCACATTTATTCTGCGGGTCAACGGATCAAAGGCTCCAGGAATTTTATATCTACCTTATCGTCTCTCTATTCATTAAACCGAAAAAGTAAGAGAAATCCCCTTTACACCCACAAGTGTACTAGTGGTAGCGCTCCTAGATCGAGATTTGGTCATAACAACATCCGCTAATTTTATAATGACTTAGGTAGCAAAGTAGATGATGAACGATGTCACTATGATATCCAATATTTATCTATTTCATTTAAATCCCTGGTGATATTCCCAACCGTGGGCATCAATAGAAATAATATCGCTGGGAAGGGAAGGTTTTGCTGAATTATGCCAAGTTCGGCTGCACTCCATTGGAAACAATCCTAGCTTAGGTACTCGATGTTTGTAAGGCTCCAAAGACAGGGTTGTTGATATTCTGTAAAAAATGCTTTCGTATTTATTTACACAAATGAAATCGTTACAAAGATAGCATCCATTAATAAACGCTATACTCCCTTTTAGAGCTAATCATTGTTTTATACAGGGAAAGGCATACGTTGTGCCACTAATTATCCTCATAAAGCGGGACACCTATTGTGGGGTGTTTATAGCACAATCAGTGCACGGACGCTATATTCGCAAAACCAGTCAACAGTATGGAAACAGTAAAAGATAAATAAAAATAAAGGAGATATACTTTTATTGCAGAAACGTATAAGCGTGCTATGCTGAAGGTCACCTAAGCTTGAGAGAAGAAAGGAAGTAGGTTCCGGAGCGTCTAAGGCAGCATTTGGGTAGCGTTCCGGACGTGTACATATAAACGAAGGTAGTAACATGTAGAAAATGGAACTATGATTTGTGATAGTTTACACATTAGATGAGGAAGTCTCCAGGTCGCTACCCAGCCCCCTCTTAGTAGGGAAGCCGTAGTTGACCTTTCGAGCTAAGTAAGAACTAGTGGTCCCGGCAGCCTTCTGCGTACTAGATGGTGAAACCTGGTGCAGCTGCTTGGGAAGCATCAGCGCGATCCGACCGTTGCGGACTTCCATCCTTGTTCTCCTTAACAGGGCGAAAAAAGGAAAACGTGATGTTTGAGCGTAGGGCGTTCGGTCACGTGATTTTCGGTGATGTTAGAGAGTTTGAGGGATGGGATTTGAAAAAGAAGTGAAGTAGGAGCCGTCAGGCACGTGTAATTGACCACAGCAAAAGAACAGTGATAACACTTACCGAATAGGAGTAGGGGACTAAAGGAAAACTCTGTGTGGATACAAAAATGTTTATTGCGTTTTAGGGTTTTCAAAACAAGTTGTAATTTGCATTTCGGTCCGGCCAAAAGGAATGAACGTGTAGAAAAAATACCTTACTCGTTTAGACGCGCCGGCAGATGAATTTGTCAAATGGAACTGGTAGACTTTTGCGGTTCGACTGTGGGCGTGGTCGATGTCGGAACTGCGTCTTGTCGCATTTCGTGGAGTAGCAGATGATGTACCGTCCGCTACGGCTGCAAGTGGAAGAGCTAGTGACTTGTGGTTGTCTTTGATGTTGTTGCCGGATTCGAAATGAGCGCCTTTGGGTTGATCGGGTTTAACGACTTCGCGTTCGCCGTAGCATATGAGAATGAATTTAGTTCTTTGCAATGAATGACCTTGAAAGACCCGTCGTATGGCCGATCTAACGATGTGCAGCGGTCGTCAAGGTGGGTAAAAACATGCGAACAATGGTTTAGATCTTAAGGAAGGAAAAACTAACGCTTGTCTTCCCTGGGTTCGAACGATCGAGATAATCATAACTTAGCAGGTATTTGTTGGGCATATGTAGCGCTGTGGCGACAAGGTTTTTGTGCTTATGGGGAGAAATGTTCAAGAGTTCGCACGGTTTGGTAGTATTCTAGTTCAGTATTAGAGGTCTAAAAAATTAGTTTTGATTGCTGAGCTGATGCTTAGCAATAACACAGGTAAGATTTCAGGTCACTAAGGGACATTTTGAGTTACCAGTGGAAACGCTCGACCATCCCACTCGAACCAGGACCGTACGCATTAGTATCAATGCGATGAGCGCCTAGTAATTAATGCGTCTATGGGAAAATGCTAGATGCAAACTGGGGGCCTCTATCGGTAGGCACGGTTACAAGACAAGTATGACCAGCGACTAGCGATCGACAAACGCTTTCGCGACTGTTTCGGTTGCGACGTGTGGAATCGGAATACCTACGGATCAGCGCGTGTGTAGTGGTCTGTCATAGGCGGGATGTAAACCATTTCCTCAGACGATAATAACAGTCCAGCGATGTCGAAGTAGATGCGTGCAAAATGAGTGGAAACTGGAAGAAAACGGCCAATCGGAGCAGAATCATACTGCTGAATCTTAGTATTTTGACAGGATAGACAACTACGAGCCCATAGTCTGATGTCGCGCTGAACGCCAGGCCAGATACATTACATGAAAAGGAGTTTAACTGTGGCTTTAATAATGGGATGAGCGATATTGTGAAAGGTGTCAAGGACATTTTGACGGAACACCTGGATGAGGACATTCGGTTTGTGTCACAAAGAGTGGTGCCATCGGATGACGGTAATGGGTGCGGCGCGATTCTCAAAGAGGAATCTAATAAGGTGGACTGACAAGCAAAAAAGGGCGACAGCAACAACTTTCTTATGACTGGCGATGCGTCGCACGTCAGTAGAAAACTGGGCTACGAAACTCAGCCGACGGACGTAACGTGGTGAGTGTCGACCTGATTGACCTCGGAAGGCATAAATAAGCGGCGTATGATCGGTGAAGATAATGAAGATGTTACCTTTAAGGACGTGCTGGGAATGTCGGACGGTAGAATAGACAGCCAGCAGTTCGCGATGGTATGTGGTGTTTTACTTCAGCAGCTTGTAAGCGTCATGAGTAGAAAGTAGGTTTCCAACATCCTTAGGAAAATTGCTGTAGGACAGCGCTAACAACAGTGTTCGGTGCATCACAAGTAATTATAAGCAGGGCGCTCAGATCGGTGGTGACGCATAATGGTTTTGGCTAAAGCACCTTTGCTATCCTTAAATGCTTCGGAGATGGCAATGGTCAATTGCCACGTTAATGCTGCAGCATGTTTTGTGAAAAGGCAAGTATATTTGTCTAGCAATGAGTAGCGTGTAACCAGCTTGGAAACATTAAGTTGGGTAAGCGAACGGATAAGCGGTAGACGCGGATTCTTGTGTTTGCACGCTGTTACCCTACCAGCAAAGTTGCAAGATTCATAGATGTCTTGAACTCCGTCAAAAGTAACGCTAGGATCAACGACAGAACGTTGAACACCTTTCAGAGAAGTTTCCTTAATGTTATTACCTGTTCTTATTGTTGTTTAACATTTTTGTAGGCTCGGTTGTGGAATGCATGATAGGTGCATTTAGGTGAAAGCTGCGAAAAATACGGCCGGGCTGGATTGTACAAACATATCTGTTTTCTGTTTGGCAAGCTTAGGAAGGTACAGTTAACTGAAGTAATGCTCATGGAGTTCCTCCTTATTGGGTAGGCGTTTATCACTTTGAAATTGCAATGTCCTGTTGCTCGAGTACCAGCCGTTTTATAAATTTTTGCCTCTTGAGGAGAAGAGGAGATAGTTGTCGAATTCATCTATATTTGTAAATCCACTAGCAGCGGTGAATGTGTGATCACTAAATTTTGTTTACACATAAAGGGGCTAAAACAGGATTCTTACATCAAAAACCTCTGTGGCAAAGCAAATGGATTTCCATCGGTGTATATATATATATATATATATATATATATATATATATATATATATATATATAAATGTTTAGTGGGCCATGCGCTGTGCCATTTGGGGCCACTACAGAAGCGACGACGGGTCCTGCAGAGAATTACGACGAGCCGGCGCAGCGTTTGTAGGCACGCTGAATTCGATTTACTAACCGCATGCTTGCATGCTAAGTCTCTTTATTTCAGGTGGTGGGTTTTCGGTTCTCTTTTAATGCCTTTCTTTCTCATATAAATGTCTAGTGGGCAATGCGCTGTGCCATTTGGGGCCACTACAGAAGCGACGACGGGTCCTGCAGAGAATTACGACGAGCCGGCGCAGCGTTTGTAGGCACGCTGAATTCGATTTACTAACCGCGTGCTTGCATGCTAAGTCTCTTTATTTCAGGTGGTGGGTTTACAGTTTGTGCCCTAATGCTTTTCTTTCTCATATGAATATCTCCATGTACTCTATTCCCTTAACTTGCACACATCGCTTCAGCCAATTTTATTCGATTTCCATAACATTTTTGTGTTCGTGGCATACCGTGAACTATACTTCCTGACCTCGTGCACTTAGCTAGGATGTGTTTGTAAACAACTTATTACGTATGCTATTTAATTAAGGTTTATGTCACCGTTTCCTTATGCATTAATCGAGTTTTTCTCTTTTTCTTTCTCTCTCTCTCTCAAGTGATTGGCTGTTGTTTGATATCCCCGGTGTGGCTGCGCTTGATGTGCATGTTGACAAGGTGCCTACCTGTCTGTTACCCACTACCTCGTCCATACTGGCTCCAGGAGACAGTTGGTCGTTGCTGGAGGGGACTGGGTGCACGGTCCTTGTGGCCGTGTT